GATGAGAGTTCAAGCTCTTCTAATTGTGGCAACTATATACAGTAGAACTATTACATGCTTTTGCTGAGAAAGATCTCTGTCATTTTGTGTTACGTGGCTAAAAGTGAGGTGGTCTTGTAACAATTCACCTAATTATATTAACCTAAAAAGGGAAAAGTACATACGCTAAAATTAAAGGGCATGGGCGGATCTGAATTGGTCAGGTATACAGACATTACATCTGACTGCGTAACAGTTGAAGGTACAAAAAACACGCTGTCAGGTCTTCTCTATTCTTCACTATAAGGACAGACGATATCAGACACAAAAGAAACCACACAGCCAGTTAAATATAACAATTATTAATACAAATCAAATTCATTCGGCATACGGGATGCAGCAAAACAAAATAACTGTGAGGCTCCCGCTCTACTCTGGCACAATAATCCCAGGAAAGTTCCTTTCTGGTCCGTTGCTGAGCAGTCACCGGCAAATCGTGCAACGGAAATAATAACAATAACAGACCCTATTCATATCAGGTGTTAATCATTACCGGCAGCTAATAACATTCAGAAATATATCACTTTTAAATATGTCAAGGAAAATAACCCATAGGTTTACCATTCACAACTTTTGCGATCATTACAGCCTGTGAAGTGAGGGAGGCGTTTTGGGGATTTGATGATGTGAGTGACACATGTGAGTGACAGACGAGCCCCCGCTATAGCCGAGTATGTCTTGGGAGTGTTGAAGAAATACAAGTCTGTCGAAAAGCTGGTAGCTCAGACTTATGACGGAGCAGCTGTGATGTCATCAGAGTAATGGGGTGCAGGCCAGGATTAAAGAAAAGGTGCCTGAGGCCATGTTTACTCACTGTGACGCACACAAATTAAACCTGGTGCTCTTGCGTTCAGCAAAATGCGTGCCTGAGTGTAGAGCTTTTTTGAAAACAGTTGTGGGACTAGTGACATTTTTCAGTAAGTCCACAAAGCGCACCCACCTATTGGATGATGTTGTGAAGCGACGTTTACCAAGAGCAGCACCCACGAGATGGAGCTCAAATTCAAGACTGTTGCAGACAATTACCATGTACCAATCTGATTTGCGTGCTGTATTCCATATTATGAGCAAAAATTCAGATAGTTGGGATAATGACACCCTAATGATGGCTGCTGGATATGAGCGGTGGCTGTCAAAAGCATCAACATGCTTTTTCATTATGGCATATGAGGACATTTTCAGTGAAACTGATGCACTCTTTAGAATGCTGCAAAACGAAATAATGGACATTAGATTTTGTTGTGCACGAATCCGCGACACAATTGGATTTGTGGAACACCAGAGACAAGAGTTTAACAGTTTCTATGAGCCATTTGAGCAGAAATGCGCCACACTCGGAACAACAGATAGAGTCTGAAGTCAAAAGTCAGTCAGAGATGAGAGGAAACAAATGTTTTATAACAATCTGGACAATATCAGTGTTCAACTGAAAGCTAGGTTTGATCATTTTGGTGAGCTAGCTTTCCCTGGTTTGGTCGATTGTACAAAATTAAATGTCACAACATTTTGATGACACCAAACTGCAGAGCCTGTCAAAATATGCCAGGTTCTTTGACTTTGTTAGACTAAAAGCTGATCTGATCAGACTGTAAAGCTCACAAACAGTGAGGGATGAATGTAAATCCCCTGGGGAGCTTCTCAGCTTTTTGGCCCAGAAGGATCTGATGCAGACTGTTCCTGAGGCGACAAAGTTACTCACTCAAAATGTCCTTGAAGCCAACATTAACTTCTTCTCCACAGTCTCTCGAAACTCCTCCTACACACAGGTTTTTGCTCCTACCTGGTACCTGTCTGCTGTTCCAGACACCCCTGGACCAACCAGGCCCGAAAAGCCTCTTCCTTCATCTTGAGGTCCTGGTGTCCACCAGGGGGTTCTAAGGTTGCTGCCATGACAAGCACAGATGACCTTACTCCCACTACTCCTTGCAGCTGCTTTTTACAATGGCGGCTTTAAACATGGCCCACTGCCATTCCATGTACACTGCATCCCCTGGGATGCATACAACATTGTTCCAAGGGTGGGAGTTGAAGACCTTACAGACAGGGGCCTCAGCCAGCCATGTTCAACTTCACTACACGTTTGGGTTTACCAGGTCTATCCGGCAGCCTCCCCTGCTAGCTGATCCAACTCACTACTAGGTGGTGATCAGTTGTCAGTTCAGCTATTTTCCCCATCCGAGTGTCAAACACATACAGCCGCAAAACTGATGACACAACCACAAAGTTGATCATCAATCTTTGGCCAAGGATGCTCTGGTACCAAGTACACTTATGAACCGTCCAATAATCAAACACGGTGTTTATTATGACAAATTGATGACTAGCACAAAAATCAAATAAACACCACTTGGGTCCAGATCAGGGCCGTACCTCAAAATCAACCCCCTCTAGGGTTCTCCATCTATACCCATGTGAGCATTGCAGAGTGAGTCTGCAGTCGATGCCCTTTTCAGGACGCAAACCAGAGACTCCAGGAAGGCCGGGTACACCAGCTGCTGTCTGGTGCATTAGCACAAAGAACCGTCAAAGAGCTCCTCCCAGCAACTTGCAGTCACATAGAGGCTTGTTCCAAGGGAGAACTCCATCACAGCCGCACTCAGAAAAGGGCTTGTGAGTATCCCCCACACCCTCCCGGGTGAGGTGAGACCAATTATATTGAGTTGATACCATTCCACCTCCCGTACCAGCTTAAGGTCTGTCCTCTCCAGAGGTGTGTGTAATGGTCGTATACTGTTGCCAAGCTGCGGTTGATGGATCGTTGCTGATTTTTGCCATATCAGTTGTCTCCAGCAGGTTTTTCCACTTCAGTTGGCGCGTTCTGAAATGGAGGTCATGGTAGTTTCAGCAAAGGGGTCAGATTCATAGAGCGGTTGGTATCGCTCGTACAGTTCGGTACTTGTAGCGTCAAGGCCCGGGGTGTATTGATTGCGGCATCCTCTTGGGATGTTCTTGCGGGCTGCTTCATGCACAAGCTTAGTGAGTTTGTCATAGTTCCTGGGGTCTGCTGGGAGATGGGCAATCTTCCTTTCAAGATGTTCTTGGAAGCCAGCCCAGTTCGCTTTTCCAAAGTTGAATCTTCTTCGGAATGGAACTGTGGCTGGGGTTATTGCAGCGTTGACTGTGATGCCAATGGGACGGTGTTGGGTCCTTGGCAGTGGCTCCAAGACCAGCTTTTTGCTTAATCCGGCGATGTTGTGGCTGACAAACACGATATCAGGGTTGTAACCTGCTCTCCATCATCCGCTGTTGAAGGACTTTGGTTGTTTTGCGTCGTGGATCAGATTAAGCTGGCAGTTTTCAGCCCACATTTCTACAGCATCTCCATCTGCATTGTTGTTGGCGTATCCCCATTGTGTGCTGTGGCTGTTGAAATCTCCTTTCACAATCTTCGGTTTTCCGGATGGTGGTATTTCATGCATCTCCATAGGTATGGGGGGCGGTTTGTAGACTGAGGTGATGGTAACTCCTCTGAGCTCAGTGGTTAGGACTTCAATGTTGTTTTCATCGCTCTTTGATGTTGATTCGGCAATTGTCCCATTTTTTGCTGGCATGATGCTGCCATATTTCGTATGTGGTCTTTCTATGAGGGTGGTCATACCTTCCACACAAGGGCGATGATTTTTTGGTCCGTGGTGAGTTTCCTGTAGGCAGAGAATATCGCACTGGTATTCTTCGCAGAGTTTTGCAACAAGTTCTTCTTTAGTTGTAGACAGTCCTTCAACATTGAGAGATATGATGGTCAGTGCTGGCCTTGGAGGTGGGCATTGGCCTCTCTTCCTGCTCAGGACTGGAGGACTGCTGTCGTTTGTTGAGCTTCTGGACATCATTGTCTTTCACTCGGCTTCAGTGTCTTCGGTAGAATTCGCAGGTTTGTTTAAACCTGACAGGGATCGCAAACGTGAACGCTTCTACCATGATCCCCTCCAGAGAGGTGACATATAGTATGTTTATTGTTTACTGTGTTGTACCACAAATTGCCCCTTTGAAAACAATAACATTTCTAAGTTTAATTCAACTCCTCCCTGACCGATTCATATAGGGTGAGTAAATCGCTCTTGGTCTGGCAGTAACCTGGGACCACTTTGCCTTTGTACACCCTTCCTGGAACTTTTCCCCCTTTCCTCTATAAAGGCATTGATTCCTTATGACAACTTTAAGTCAGTAAATTATAGCCACATGCCAAATTAACTTAGCTAATGTCTAATATTCATGTTAAAACACTGTGTTCCGGTGAATTCCTTCAACATCGTGGACGTAACCTTCAATTCAGTCGCTGTATCCCTTGGTTTGGATTCTTTTGGGGATCTTTACAGAATTATCTGCCAACATTTGATTGTTTCAATCAAAAGCTAAGACTAGCTGTCTTGCTAGTTTCAGCCTTTTGCTTTCCACCACATTCCCTACACGAGTATACACTCGTAGGGGTGTGCTCATGTGATTGGTTGAAAATGGAGGAGACATCTGATTGGCTACAGATAATTCCGTTGAGAAAAAATGCATTTGTGAATAGATTGACGTCAGGGTACGCCCATACAAGAATGCGGTGAAGTTCACACATATGACAAGCAGTTTGTAAATGCAGGTTCAACAGTTTGTATATGAATATATCAACATTCAAATCCTTTTCAATATGTCGTTTTCAATTAGTTATTTAAAATAAATATTTGTGTGTGCATCAGTGTGGATTTTGTTGACATCACATATAACTTATAAACATACCATTTTTGTGTACACTGAAAACTATTGAGAGAGAGAGATGCACAGCAACAACAGCTATACTTTTAATATAATTTGGACTAATAATAATAAAAGTGGTGATATAATGGAAAGATAATAGTATTAGCAGTAATAATAGAAATAATCTTAGAAATATGACTACAACTGGTAATCTTAGCTACAGTGGATAGAATAGAATATCATAATATTAATTATATAGAAATATGACAATAGTGATTATAATGATGCTAGCAGTGGGTGTCAGGCAGGGTAACAGCAGCAGGCACAACTTCGGTCCAGGTATAACCATCCAAAGAAACCTGCAAGGTGAGATCGGCACATCTGGGTGAGGCAGTCAAGGATGTGTTTCTATTCACTCCTTGTCTTTCCTTGTTTCATACACAACTCTCTGTTGCTGTTGTAGCTGACCAGGTCATCCAGCTCTGGAGTTTCATTTGGCTTACTTATGACTGTCTCACCCGTTAACCAGCTTGTGGTGCTAACCTCAGCAAATGTTGCCAAAGGCCTACAACTAAAACTTTCTGGGCACCAGTGAACTTTGGTTTTGCATTATGTGCATCAATCTACACCATGTATTCTGTTCTATTTCATGGTGCTTTTCTGCATCAAGTGATACAAACTGCATTAAGGTCAGTAACTTGTGAGGAGTATAGTTAGAAATAATATTTGCTTTCATAATGGAGTGCCTGGACATTGCTTGGTTGACAATAATTTGGATGCACACTTTTATGAGAAAAGAGGTACACAATAATCATAAGTGTGCATATCTATGTTCCCAGGGTCCTGCATTTCAAGCTCAATATCCTCTTTATATAACACATTAAGGAGACCTTTCAAAGATCGTATGCTGTCAGCAATGTTTTATCCCAAGGTCAAATGTTCAATTCATGTTTCCCTGGGTGAAAATCATTCTCCTATTTCGCACAGTGCTACGAATGTTATACTCCTTAAAAGCTACCTTCAAATTTGTGGGCAAGAAAGTTTTCTTTACTTTGGACATTGATACATTCTCAAAAACTAAATGGAATATTAAGCATTCAAACTGCATTTGAAACTTCCATCTCCCTGTTTTACAATTTGAACTGCGAAAATATACCAATGTCCTGCAATAAGGACTCTGGAAACATAGGCATTACCCTGTGGGCACTCATGCATCATGATGACTGATATCATGGTGAGTGACATTCCAAGACACACATCCACTTGTGATTTTTTCTCAAAGGGTTATTTTGGAGACCCCTGGAACGTCTTTGACTTCGTCATCGTCATTGGAAGTGTTGTGGACGTGATGCTGAGCGAAGTTGATGTGAGTACCATTACCTTACTCTCTTTCGTTCTTTTTCTGTCACTGTGGCTCAGTGATAGAGCAGGTTGTATTTCATTCAGAAGATCGGTGTTTCGATTCCCGGCTCAGCTAGTCCATGTCGATGTGACCTTGGGCAAGACTCTTAACCCCAAATTGCTCCCGAGGACTGTGCCATCGGTGTGTGAATGGGTGAATGACATGTAGTGTTAGAGCGTAGCATTTACTATTTACACACATACCTAACACACACTTTGATAATATGTTCACATATTTAAACTGACAGAACATAAATACTAAACAAACACATTAGCTTGTTACACATTTGGGGGCATTGCATTGACCGAACAATAATTTACTGGTACCTTAACCTAATCTAATCTTAAACATAAACTGTACATACTCAGCCCCTTTTTAACTAATTGGTTCATGCAAGGAAGCTAGATTTAGCTTGAGAAAATGTCCCCATTGTTACTTACTCCTACAATGTTCCCTAAATTTGGCCAGTGACAGAAAAACAAAAATGTAAGCACATTTTTACTAGCGGACAGTACTCATTTTGTAGCAGCCATTCAAACAGCAAGTGTTTACTAAGTGGAGCTAACTGTAGCTAACTGAACCAACAACGACTAAACAACTTGAGCTCACTGATATATGACACAACATATCTGAACTCAAAATAAAAAAAATTAAGTTACATTACATTTCACAAATTTAACACTGCACACCTCAAATGATAACGTTATACCACAAATATTGTAATGGATGTATGGATACCATTCTTTGAAACACATAAAACAAAATACAATGTTTGTGCCTTTTTGGAGTTTTGCTTTCTTTTAGTGCTACAGTAATTAATGTTATAGCAAATAGTATAAAATCAAGAAAAGTAAAAACAATATTTATATAACAATATAATAATACATAGTTTATACATGGATCACATTAGAGTGTTTAAGCTTTAGTGTTAGGGCAGATTGTATCAATAGTTAAGTTTCTACATTTTTGAAAAACACAATAATGGCAATGATTCTCTAATACATGTAGACTTTTAAATGGAATTTTATTTTCATGTAATCTTATACTTCTTTGAACTTTTCATTGAACGCTACCATGAGTTGACACATTTTGGTTTTGAGCAAAATATCTTGACTATTGTGTAGCTGTTTAATTTGCTACAGATATTAAAGAATCCAAGAGAATACATTCTAATCATTTTGGTCCAGTTGCCGTAGCTCAACACACAGCAAATACAGAAATGTGCTGCAAGTAGCACACTACACAACAAAAACTGTTTCCAGGAGACACTAGAATGTGTTGCACACGGCTGGGGCACGGTTGTTGTAGGTTTATGACTTGAAGTTGGCTATCCGTCAGTGCTGTCCAAAAATTAGCTACAATTTAAGAAAAGATGGGAGCAGAACTATGATTTCTCAGTGGTTGTTATGTGTAGCAAGTGCAGAAGTAAAGGGGCTGTGGAGGGACAAGGGCGCCGCGGGGATGAAGCCAATGACAACAGCTCTTAGAGGGCTAAGCCTATAAAACACAGAAATCTGCTGTTAGCCTAATATTTACCAAGTCCAGCACCTGATGATAATATCATTAGTTTTGCAGGTATCCTGTCCATAACCACAGTACTAAAAGCATTTTGAAAAGTCGATCGACAACAGAGCTCAACACACTAAAAACACAAGAAAATGTTGATCGTTTGGAATATGATGCTTACATGAGCCATATCAAATTCAGAATATTTTCATATTCGGAATAATAGTGGAATATGAGTGTGCATGTAGACCTAGTCAGTGTAGCCTTTACGGAGGTCTTTTCGGCACCCGTAAACAAATAAAAGAGCCCTTACACAGCTGGAATAATCTAAAACCATGGCAGGACTCAACAAATATAACTTTTCCTTTTGTGTTCTTAAGTAGTAGTTATATCTGATGATCAGATAAATCAGACAATTAAAGCTTCTGCCATTCACAGTTTATGTAGTTCCTCAGTACTAAGCACATTCGTCATTGACATTTAAATTATGTTTTATATTTATTGTAGGCTACATCAAAGTCAATTGCTATAATAATGACATGATGTTGACAAGTGCAAACCACTGTGTGTATATATATATATATATATGTGTATATATATATGTGTATATATATATATATATATATGTGTATATATATATATATATGTGTATATATATATATATATATA